TTGAAGACTGGTGTGGGTAACGTCCCATAATTGAACACGGAGGCTGAATTAGGTCGGGCCCAGCCCAGCAGATGCACGGCATAAGAGGCAGGTGAAGCGACAAACCCAACACCCTCCTGGAGCCCCACCCGGCCCCGCCCCGCCCACCAAACACGAGAAAAGGAGTGAGAATGACCGACCGGATGAGGGACGCGCCGGTGCCTCACGCAGTCATGCAGAACGATAGCCCTTAGCTCTTTTTTTCTTTTCCTTTTTTGGTTGGTGGAGGACCTTTTTTTCCCTTCCACCTTAAAGCTTTTCGACACCACGATGGATTGAAATATCAGTTTACTTTTTGACGGCAGAGGCGAGCGCAATTTCCCGCGTTATGATTCGAACGCGAGGTGGTGGTCGATCAAAGATCTTCGTTCGTTGTCTTAATATTGGAAAATATAGGCGTCAAGACATCAGTAACCGTTCACAGATTGCATGCGCAACATGTCTAGAAAGTTTCGTCTGCAGATGAAGCGGGATTTTCACAGCCAGCCACGTAGAAAGACATTACGTAGTCGCACGTTTACCACAAGCAAATGCAGTCCACTTTTCGATTCCTGATCCTGATACGAAAGGATTACTGTAATTTGAAGGGAATGTCGCATGAGAAAGTATTTCTTAAGGCCTTAGCACAATTGACTCGAAGCAAAGTAAGAGCTGCCCGTTTACTCGGACATTGTGCACCCGGCTCTTTGCGATACGAACATGACTGGCAGTTTACTCAGGCTTTGCACGCTGCGCTTTGCGATACGGACATGGATAACGCCACAGTCGTTTCTGGAAATGCAAACGGCACTCATTCCTGGTCTCTAATTGAGGCCGCCTGGGTCGTTACAGTCGGGGCGTGGACTCACCTCAACAGGCTGCCGTTCTCGAACATGTCCAGGGCCTTGGGGTGCAGCGCCCAGTAGGCGCCCTTGCCCGGCCGGTCGGGCCTGCGCGGCACCTTGATGAAGCAGTCGTTGAAGCTGAGGTTGTGCCGCAGCGAGTTCTGCCAGCGCTGCGTGTTCCGGCGGTAGTACGGGAAGCGGGTGGTGATGAAGCGGTAGATCTCGCTCAGCGGCAGCATCTTGTCCGGCGAGCTCCAGATGGCCATGGCCGTCAGCGAGATGTACGAGTAGGGCGGCTTCTGGTCGCCGTACGAGTCGCGGCTGGGGCGCGGCATGGCGGTGGCTGCGGCTGCAGTGGTCACTGGCACATCACTTGTTGCGGCGCACGGTAAACAAACTGGACGCTCTCGCGGCTCCGTCCCTGACGACGCTCCGGTACTGTCTAAACAAACTCCCCGCGCCCAGCAGCCCGCCGGCCTGCCCCCACCGCGCCGCCCGGGCCCGGCCCCGAGCCGCCGCGCCATTGGCTGCCGCCCGCGCGGCCGGGCCAACCGGGGGGCTCGGAGCGGGCCGGGCCGCGGCGGCGGAGGGGAGGCGAGGGAGGCCGCCTCGGCCGGCGCCCGCCTGGCAGCGCTGCAGTCGCGGGCTGCCATTGGTCCGCGCCAGCACCGGGCCCTTTCTACACCCGTCCCTAATCGGGCTGTTGTTGTTGCACCAACGGATTTCAATGTTTCTGCTCAAATGTTTAGCTTGGGCGGCTCCGTGTGCGCGGCCGGGGATGCGCACGCCACGCTCTGGGCCTTCCCTGGCGCGGCCCCTTCCCTGGCGCCCCCGCGCTGCCTATAACTCCATGGCGTCTCAATCTCGCCCGGCCCCCTTTTCCTTTGCCAAGATTTCGCCCGTTTCGAAACATTTTTGTTGTTGCCGCGGTCGGTGTGTTGTCCAGCTCTTAATTACTTACTCAGGCCGCTCCCACTCCCCATCGCGCCGTCAGCGATTTATCGCCTCGCCTTCGCGAGCGAGAGTATCTTAATTATATCTAATTGTGTAACTCTGTGTATCGCGACGACCCCTCTAATAGTGGCGTGGGCTTCATACGCGTTCGATTTCTCGCCGCCCGAATTTATCGTCTGCGGCCGGCCGGGCCAGGACAGGAGGGTCGTAATTTAACGTCCATTTGGAGCCTAAACACCCAATCGGTGGGCGCGTGTGCTCACCTGGTTATTGTCAGAGTGGGCGGCAAAACGACCTGTGTGTGTGTCTATGTGTGTGTGCGCCTGCATGCATGTGTTTGTTGAGACAGACTGACAGGGACAGTCGTACGTTCGTTCACCCGAAGTCATGTACTTTTCCACGATATGTTTATTCAAATATGAATTTCTCAAGAAATAGCAAGCTCAATATACTAGCTCCATTAATCCTTTTTTGAGTCGTATTCGCACAATTTATCTCCTTATTTGGGTTTTTCTTGTCATTAACAGTTTGAAATCGTTTGATGACTGCTGTGTGGAATATGCTTAACAGAAAAAAAAGATTTCTTGCACCCAGTAATTTTTTAACTTTATGCAAAGTATTACTTATGGAGGAAAAACGAATTAACCAAGGAAGAGTAGTTTGAATGCAGAAAAAAAATGAAAATAGATAAAGAAAGAAAACCTTTTTTCGATGCATCTTTCTGAGGTCTGGCGCGAAGGGAAGACAGCACGCTATGTTGGCCGATAACCGATAGTACTTAGCTAAACGCGGTTTGGTATTATGACAGTGTACCGTCGAATAAACGCCAGGCCGTGGGCCGCGGTCACCCGCAGTCAGAAGGGTTGGCCACATGGCCATGGCTGGAGGAGGAGGGGTCGTGGGGAGTGACGTGACTGCACGGAGGGGTAGGGAGGGGTGTTTTTCCAAGTATTAATCATACGACCAAACGGACTGTAATATTGCTCATGTTTTGATTTCTGCCGTCGTGGCACCCCTTTCTGTCCGACAAAGGGGTGGAAGCATTAAAAGAGAAAAAAAAAATCTGGCGATATTGCGGTGATAACGAAAGGGTACCGAGATGGGCAATTCGATGGTTAATGTGTTATTTCTTTTTCTACACATCCAGCGAGGTTGATCAAACCTCCTATGCGGCGATTATGTTTTTTATTCTCTTTTGTTGATAGTTTTTGTTATTTTTAAACTGTCGCACACCCTGGATAAGAAATCTGTGTGTAAATCTCCGGGTGTTCATGAAGATGGAGCGACAGGACGTGCTGACAGCCCAGCTTCACGCGCACGCAGGGCGCTGTGCTGCGCAGCGCGGCGCTCTGGCGGTGATGAGCGGTAACTAACGCCGCCACGGTGGTGCTTCCGGGGTGCAGCAGCACGCGGCCGGGGCTCTACATCGCCTTCGGCCATTCTGAATTAATGGCTTTAATATACCGGCCGATGTGAATCAACAAAAGAAGGGTTAAAGGAGGGGGGAGGTGGGGCAGACCGCAGGCCTGGGCGCGGCGGCAGCAGTGACAGAGAGAGAGACGCTCGCACTTGTAATTTAATTTTTGATTAATGGCCGAGCTTCTTGTTGTGTGTTTCGGCTCGGCGAGTTGGCCTGCCACCGTTGGCTGGTTGGCTAGGCCGCGCCCGGACTCCCGGAGTGCAAGACCAGAAGTTATTAGCTTATCTTATCTGAGCGCGGGGAGGCCAGCAGCGGTGGCGGGGCGCACAGCGCATCAGCCTGCGAATAGCGTCGTCGCGTTCAAACAGCAGCGCCCTTAATCACCCACCTTTCTTTTTCTTAAAAGAAATAAATATCTTTTCGTCGTGGTCTGCTAGCGTTGCGAGAGCGCCTTATAGAGCAGGGCCCCTGATGCATCTAAAATTCACAATCAAGAAAAACCGCGCAAAAGATGTTGAAGTGACATAGAGTAGGGTGCCCATGAAAAGTGTTTTACAACGCTGTAAATCTGAGGTGTGCAGCAGCTGGGCGACTTACTTCGTACGACCCAGGTTTCTGTTCAAGTCGCACTTTTGCAGGATACTTGTGTTAAGTTTTGGCACCCTTTTCCTGCAGTGAACCTAGGCAAGAGGGCGCCTTACCTTGGCGGGGCCTGGACGTCTCTGCAGGAAAAGGGTGCCAAAACTCAAGGCGTCCTGCGAAAGTGTGACTTATTGACCAGAAACCTGGGACACCCCAGATTTATGTGGCTGGTCGTTCCCTGTTAATTAAAAATAAATAAATACTGGAACTGGAAAATTATATTATGTGCCTGAAATCGTTGAGTGTTTTTGATCAGTTGATCTATGAGCAAGCTACAGAAGCACATATTTTACTCTTTTACGTCAAATTTCAAATCTGTAACTTTGTCTATAAAGTGTGACAAAATGTTTCTGAGAGCTCACTTTGAAGTGATTAGTCGTGTATCAGGGGCGTGTAGATTTTCCAAGGGTTAAGCCGTTGGCGAGACGGCCATAGTGCATAAATTTATATACATTAGCTTTATAAATACGCAAGGTGTGTTTTGTGGAAAGTCGAACGCCACCCCCCTCGACGATAAGCGTAATTATGTAGCGTGGTATGTGGTTTTTAGGCACGCAGTATTTTTTTAGTAATTTTGATGACGGAAACAACCAGGGCGACAAGGGTGAAGGTCAAGGAAAGCCAAGGAAAATAATTTGTCGTTATGAGGGACAAAATTTTAATATTTTATCTTACCCCTCTCTCGACCCTCTTCAGATGCTCACATCTTAGCAGTCCCTTTTCTGATCGTTTGGGCGCAAACTAAATTTCTGTTTTATTTTGTTTACGTTACATTTTGGTCAACTCAAAGATTTAGACTTATTATTTTAGTGGACATGCCATACTCAAAATACTCTGCTTTGCGCTAATGACTAGAAAGCTGTGCATCTATTTCCCACAGAGGTTGGTATTTATTAGGCACTTATAGAAGGAGGATGACTTCAGAAATCAAAATTCTGGGCACATCATTTAAATTCAAGGCCCAGCTGCCATTTTCACCCCTTGGATTATTATTGTAGAACCTTTTTTTTTTTTACTGTGCTTTTACCTCGATGTTATGCAGAGCAGAGTGGTGGCGAAGTTTTGAGGGCATGGTTTCGAGGTCTTCTTTATTCAAGTTAATTTGATAAGTGAAAGATATTTCCTGGACAAACGCGCAATTTTAGGCCTTTGGGCCAAAGTTACCCCAGCCCTTACGGTAGTCAGTTAGAAACGATAGAAAAGAGTGGTTAAAAATCGAGGTGTGATCCGACCCGAGCTTAGAAATCTCACTTGAATGGGAAACCTCGCTGGTTTTGCGAGAATCAAATAAACTAATCTTAAATCCTACCTAATTTGAGTGGTATTCTAGATTATCGCTAAGACCAAGGGTTCGAGATTACCACTTAAAGGTAGAGGGAAGAAAATCCCGATCTTTTTCGATGAGACATCTGACTCTTGCTCTTGCGGCGATTATGACACGTCGAAGTCAACAAAAGCTTTCAGGCTGTGAGCAGGCAGGAACGATTTGACCTGGGCGGAGCAAGATGAGCCAAGCCCAACGAGAGGGAACGAAACGACAGCCGACGGGAAAAGAATAACTCTTGACAAAAGTGTATGACGGACACGCTGACTGGCTGGTAGCGGGCGGACCGCCGGGCGGTGGTCACACACAGCCACCACCGTGGCCTAATGCCGTGCTGCCGTGCCGGCCGGGTCGCGTGCGAGTGAGAGGCAGCTCTCCGTGCGTTCTCTCTCTCTCTCTCTCTCTCACTCTGTCTCTCCGGCCGGGAGAGCCGCAGCGGGTGATAGGGTGGAGGGACACGGCCACGCCTCGGACGCCACCCTCATAAGTGTAAGGCTTGGCGACGGGGGGTCCTTAAGGGAAGTCCTTTGCGGTGCAGTGCCACTCGGAGGTCACCCCGATAATGAGACGTAACGAGTAATGCGCGGGATAAATCACCGCACGGAATAAATCTCTGACTGAGATAAAGACCCGGTAGTTAGACCGCTGGCGAATAACGAGCCGACTCTGTTGTGCTGCCCGAGGAAAAGTCATTTGTGTGGAGGATGTGCTGCTTGCATTCGTCGTTCATGTTTATATTTGCTTAGATTGAAGTCCAGCCGATTAAAAAGTTTTAC